TACACAAGTTTGACATCTTAGGCTGAGATAGTGCCCAAGGTTTCTCGTGGATCCATTTTACTTCTGTGGTGACCCCAGACACTTTAACTAACAAGAGAGTGAGTTTAACTCTCTGGCTTGAGATGAACAATTATTAGATACATTGCTATAAAATTTGGGGCAAGCATCTGAAAATTTACAAAAAAATTCATATCCTTCAGTTCATAACTTACCCTGAGATTCATAATTATTTGTCCATAAATAATCATCATATGACAAATTTCCAGCTATAGTATTAGCATTCCTATCAGTCTCAGCAGGATTTTGCGTCATTCTTGGTGTGCAGGTATTCATTAAACAATTAACAGTCCTGAGAGAAAACACTTCTGTTCTGGCTCTGATAACTGTGGGCCTCATTAGTATTAGTGCTGTGTACTTCTGTGCAGACACTAAGTCTATCAAAAGTCTATTGAGCTGTTAAAGCAGACTGGAAGCTGAACCAGCTGTGATTGGCCTCTGCTACCATCGGGAACCACTTCGCATGATGCTCAGTGTTGATGCTCACTGATAACATAGTTCTGAGTGTTTTGTGTCATGCAGACTAACAGAACATTAACGTGAAACACCAATAAATTGACTGTCCATGATTCTGCATGACATCTTGTGTTGTAGTTGTATGCTTACAGTATGAAACATATATATATATATATATATATATATATATATATATATAGTATTTTCTGCTTTTAGTCTTTGTCGTAGGAGAATATCTTACATTGTTCTGTTAAATTAATTTTGTGTCATTCACCTCTGAAGCAATTTGAGATTCACTTGTAAAAAAAGAGCTGTACAAATTAAGTTTGATTGATTGATGACTAGTTGATTAAAGGTTGAGAGGGAAATTAAAAATAAAAAAGAAGACCAGGCTAGTCCAACAAGTGAGATGGAATTCATTTAGTGACTCAGCTCTTATTAAAGCCCGGATCAAGTTTATCCTCCGTCAATCAGTAAAAGGCATAGTGAGTAGAAATGGGAGTATTTAGAGAAAACAGGTTTCAGGACTAAAATGCTTTATCAAACTCTTGTGATGCTTTATGATGAGTATGATCATCCATTTGTCAAGTTTTAACTTCTAAAACGAAAGTTACGCATGTAACTATGGTTCTATGAATCCCGAATGACCGCCAGAGGCGGTGCTTTAAGCACTGAATGACTCCCTTCGCGCATGCGCAGTTCGAGTGTTTATACCAACAACGTCACTTGTGACCCCGTGGTGACCTGGAAGAGGTTATTTCTTCCATCGGTCAATGAGGGTTCAGTCCCTGCAGAACTTTCTCGCGAAGACGCGAGGATTCTGAGTGACAGAGTGCTCTGGCGGTCATTCGGGATTCATAGAACCGTAGTTACATGCATAACTTTCGTTCTATTTCATCCCTTCTGACCACCAGAGGCGGTGCTTTAAGCACTGAATGACTTATACCAGCAAAGTCACGAGGAATCCTGATTGCAAACCTTGAATCAAGGGGACTCCGGGAAGAGGACCACACCCAACGGATGGGGAGTGGCAACGTTCACCCTGTAGAACTTGGAGAACGTGCTTGATGACGCCCACGAGGCAGCCGAGCAGATGTCCTCCAGGGGTACTCCTCTTAGGGCTGCCCATGAGGTGGAGACACTCCTGGTTGAGTGACACCGGACCCCGGGTGGCATGGGGCGGTTATTTGCCTTATAGGCGTGGTTGATTGTGTCCACCACCCAGTGGGACAACCTCTGCTTTGACAGGGCAAGGCCTATACTAGGGCCGCTGTGACACACAAAGAGCTGTTCAGCTCGTCTTACACGTGTGGTGGCTCGAATGTAGGCTCTCAAGGCCCGCACCGGGCACAACAGCCTCAGTTGGTCAGCCCTGTCTCCTGGCGGAGGATCAAACCGGGCCAGTGTGATAGGCTGGTTGATGTTTGCTGCCGATGGCACTTTTGGCAGGAAGTCCATATTGGGCCATAGGGTTATGCCTGACTGGTCTGGGTTCCACCGTAGGCAGGATTCGTTGATTGAGAGGGCGTGCAGCTCCCCTACCCGCTTGGCCGATGTAATGGCCAGGAGGAGGGCTGTCTTATAGGACAGCCATTTGAGCTCTGCCCGCTCCAGGGGCTCAAAGGGAGCCTTGCATAGGGTGTCTAAGACCAGATTTAGGTCCCATACTGGAGCTCTCGGGGCTCTCAGGGGGTGCAGCCTCTGGGCCCCCTTCAGAAAGCTGGAGATCAAGCGGTGGCTCCCTATGGTGCTGTTCTCAACCCTCACGTGGTTACAAGATATAGCTGCCACATACACTTTAAGTGTAGAAGGGGACAGGCCTTTAGTTACCAGGCTTTGGAGGAATTCAAGGACTACAGTCACTGGGCAGTGTACTGGGTCCTCAGCTCTGCTTTTGCACCAGCTGGAAAACAGCTTCCACCTGTTGGCGTACTGGAGCCTGGTGGACGGCGCCCTTGCGTTCAAGATCGTATGTTGTACTGCGTCCGAGCAGCTGCCTAGCAGCGGGTCGGGCCCTTCAGCAACCAAACACACAGCTGAAGGCGTTGTGGGTTGGGATGCCAGATTCGTCCCCTCAGCTGTGAGAGCAGGTCCCTCCTGTCGGGGAGGCGCCACGGCGTCCCTTGACATAGTTGGTGGAGCAGTGGGAACCACACCCTGCCTGGCCAGAAAGGGGCCACGAGGAGAATGGTGTGACCCTCCTGAGCCACTCTCTGGAGCACCAGGGGAATCAGAGGAAGTGGGGGAAAGGCGTATAGGAGAACCCCTGGCCAGGGGTGGGACAGCGCGTCCTGGCCTAGGGGGCTGGTTGTCTCCGCTAGGGAGAACCACTTCGGGCAGTGGGTCGACACTGCCGAAGCGAACAGATCCACTTCTGCCCTGCCAAAGCGGTTCCAGATCATGGTGACCACGTCTGGGTGGAGGCGCCACTCTCCTGACGGAGGCTTCCGCCGGGAGAGAAAGTCCGCGATGTAATTCTTCTCCCCTGGTATATATACTGCCCGCAGGCTCATCAGGCGGGGGGCGGCCCATGTCAGCAGGTTTGCGGAGACCTGCAGCAGCTGTGCTGACTTGGTCCCTCCCTGGTGGTTTATATGGTAGATTGTTGAGGTATTGTCTGACCTGACCAACACATGCTTGCCTCTCAGGTGAGGCATGAAATGGATAAGAGCCATGTGCACCGCTTTTATTTCGAGCACATTGATATGATTTGCGCGGTCTGCTGGAGACCACTGCCTGCGAGCTGTCCTGCCCTGCCACACCGCACCCCAGCCCGAGAGGGAGGCGTCGGTGGTAACAGTTTCCCTGCGGTATGGAATACACCCCATCGGGACACCCCTCAGGATGTAAGTCCTGTCCCTCCACGGGACTAGGGTGAGGAGGCACTGTCTTGACATGGCAATCTGCCTGTGCCTGTGTCGCTCGGCATCTAGATGGAGGCCGTTTAGCCACCTCTGCAGGGGGCGTAGGGACAGCAAGCCCAGTGGCACAACAGCCGCAACAGATGTTAGCGTGCCCATGAGGCGGAGGAACCTCATGTATGGCAGGAGACTTCCTCTCCTGAAATTGAACAGAAGCTTCATAATACCATCCACCCGACGGGTGGAAGGACGGGCCGTCATTGAAACCGTGTCTAGGGCTAGACCAATGTACGTTATGCTCTGAGATGGCGTCAGGCAGCTTTTGTCTGTATTTACTTTGATTCCCAGGCGGGCCACGTGGGCTAGAAGCCGTGATGTGTCGTCCGCTGACTGTGCCCGGGATGGTGCGCAGATCAGCCAATCGTCCAGGTAGGGAAGCACCTTCATGCCCTGGGCCTGGAGAGGTTGGAGCGCAAACCTCGTGAAGACCCTCTGGGACAGGGAGAGCCCAAATGGGAGCACCCGGAACTGCCAGTGGCGGTCCTTGTAGGCAAACCGGAGGAACTGCCGGTGTTGCCTGGCAATGGGGACATGGAAATAGGCATCTCTCAAATCCACTGTCGTGAACCACTCGTTTGGGGCCACGGACTGGAGTACAGCTGCCGTGGTCAACATACGGAAGGGTAGGGTCTTTAAGTACCTGTTTAAGCCTCTCAGGTCCAAGATGGGGCGGAATCTGCCGGTCTTTTTCTCTACCAGAAAGTAGGTTGAGTAGAACCCCCTGGGGTGCTGCAGAGGGTCTACTGGTTCGATGGCACCCTTGGCCAGGAGGGTAGACAGCTCCTGGTCCAGGGCGAGGGCCTTTGCCGGGTCGCCAATGATGGTAGTTTTGACCCGGCTGGTTGCAGGGGGCCGGCGTCGGAACTGGAGTTTGTACCCGTGGGTCAAGGTGGTAAGCACCCACGGGTCCACAGCTCGAGCAGCCCAGTAGCTGAGCTGCTGGTGTGTGAAAGTTCCGACGGCCGGCCCCATTGTCTCAGTGTTTGGCCCCTCTGCCCCTAGGGGCCCTGTTGGGGGGTCCAACGGGGTCCGGGGGCCGAAATGGCCTAGACTGCGCACGACCAAAGCCCCGTCCGCGGGCTTGCCCCTGCGCAAAGCGTGGGTCTCTAAAGTGGGCTGGTGGGGGGTTGCTTCCAGGGGCAGCTGAGTGGGCTCTGCCCCTGGCCCTGCCCCTGCTATGGGGAGGCGCGCGGTGCGGGCTCATCAGCTGCTGACTAGTCTGTCCAGCCTGGATGGTTTGGTCAAGTGCCTCCTGGGCAGCTGGACCAAAGACCGTTCCTGGCACCACCGGGAGGCCCTGGAGGGTCTTCCTCGCCTTGTCCGTCAGCCGTGACTGGGACAGCCAAACCTGGCGGCGGGCCTGGATTATGATGGACATCATCCTCCCTAACTCCCGAGCCATGAGGCCAAACGCCTCCAGTGACGCGTCACAGAGGGTGGTAGCATCTGCGATTGCATTGTCCTCCTGCAGGGATGATGAAAGCGCCAGCAGGAGGTGCGACAGGGAGTTGCCAATTCTCCCAGCTTTTGCTCCTGTGTTATAGCCCCTAATCAGCAGGTCGTCGGTCAGCCTGCACTGGGGCGAGGGCACCTGGTGTCCCGGCTCAAGGCCTCATCTGGGGGAACCACCAGAGATGCGACGACTGGCTCAATTGGTGGCATGCAGTCCAAGCCAACGTCTGCCGAACCATGCATCGCTGCCAGCGCACGACCGTCGCTGGTTAGACGGGAGCAGGCCTTCGAGTCTGCCCAGCAGACCTGTAGCTCCCTCAAATAGTCCTCTGCATGGGGGACAGAGAATGCATTGGAGGCTGGCTTCCGCCGGAAGAATCTGCTTGTTGGGGCCTGCCCTGCTTGGTCTGGTAAGGCCACCCTTAACTTCTCCAGGGCCATTCTCAGGATGGCCTGCATCGAGTTATCCCCGCTCTCGGACAGCTCAGTCTGGGCTGAGGAGTGGGAGCCTTGATCTGAGGCCTGAGAGGCCCCCTCATAGACCTCCCCTTCCTCGTACTCATGAAAATGGGAGGCTGATGCAGCTAAAGACAGCGCATCCTCCTCTGGCTCTTGGGACTCCTGGGTCAAGTGTGGCATTTCAGGAGTAGGCACCCGAGCTTCCTCTGAAGGACACTCCAGAGGTTGATGGACGAGGAGCATAGCCCTCATACGACCAAGCTCCGCAGACAACTGATCCACCCTAGACGACAGTCGAGAGCGGTTGGTCTTGGGCCTAGCCCTAGGCTTCTTTTTAGCAGGTGGGGCGCCTGCACTGGCAGGTGCGTCAGTGCCCCGCTTCGAGCGACCAGGTTTCACTGTGGGCGCCTGGCCTGATGGGGGAAGGTTGTCCTGCAGCGGATTCACCTCCGCTAGCCTGGCCAGCAGTCCATACAGTGGCTGTTCACCAGGGCCTCCTTGAGGTGCTCAAGGCCCAGACATGATGGACACAAATCGTGTCCATCATCAGGTTGGAGGGGGGCCTGACAGGAAGTACAGCAGTGAGAGACATCCATTGTGACCCCGCCACTAGATGGAGAATTGATCGCTCTTGCTGGAGGGAGGAAGCAGAAACGCTCCTTTATCCGAAAATTAAGACAGCAAGAGTGACTGCCGCTTATGCTGGAGGAAGGAAGCGGAAACGCTCCTTTGCCAGCAATCAGAAATAGAAAGAATAAATCAAATAATAATCACAATAATAGGCTTGAAGCAACTCAGGTCACTGGCAGCGCGAGCTGGGGGGAGGGGGCGTGAGCACCGCCTGCACCAGCGTAGGCTATCGCCAACTATATAATAAAAAGAGATAAAGCCCCTCAGGCAACCAGAGCGTTAATGCTACTGTTAGTGTTAACTAAACTAAAGACAAGGCTATGCAACAAAAACGGGTTAGCCAAGCCCAACCAAACGTCGCTAGGAACTAGCCAAATCCACTTGGCCAATAAACGAAAGAGCTATCCTTAAAACTTTTCTGCCCGCTTGGCCGCCGCTGAATGCTTTAGCCGCCGTCGGAGGCCGTGGCCGCTGGGGCGTTAACAAAAAACGGGCTACCGTAGAGTCGTTTATTAACTGAAAATGCCGACGCGGAACGCGAGCGTTACCGTTCGTTGTATACAGTCGTTATGTCGGAGGGAGGCGGCGAGAGCGCGGCCTTTTACAACAGGTTAAGGTAAATATCTATATATATGTACACTAAATCAATAACCTACCTGTTCCGAAGGAGAGGGGAACGAGTCCCATCCTCACCAGTGAATGACAGACGCCGCGGCGTCCGATGAGATGAGAACTCCGCTCATTAGGAGATCCCAATTAATATGGATTAGACAAGTTACAGCTCCTGGAGGGCGAGCATTCGCTACTCCGACCGAAACGGCCACGGAACTTCTGGTAACTTACTCATTTAAGAGTGAGGTAGGTTTTGAAATATTGTAGCTCGCTCTTTTGCATCCTGCGCGAGCGAGAAAGAATAAGGGACTGAACCCTCGTTGACCGATGTAAGAAATAACCTCTTCCAGGTCACCACGGGGTCACAAGTGACGTTGTTGGTATAAACACTCGAACTGCGCATGCGCGAAGGGAGTCATTCAGTGCTTAAAGCACCGCCTCTGGCGGTCAGAAGGGATGAAATAGAACAAACTGGTTTGCACACAACCATCTCTCTTTCGAAAACAGCCCTTCTGAAGGCCGCCCATGAATAAAAAACGGTCCCTGCTGAGCTATTATAGAGAGATCCCTTGAAAGGGGACCTGCTCTAAATGTAATAAAATAAAATGTTTAATTTAGGTTTTATCCAAGTAATGATCTACAAATTTTAACATTCTATATATGACTATTGAGTTTCATTCTTATCAAATCTGTGGTTCTGCTAGTGCATACTTTACCTTTATGAGACTTTCTGAAGCTGAAGGAGAAATTTGCTGACAATGATTCACCTCATCCCTCATTGTTTCATCAAGTCTTTTGACTCATTCGTGATGAATTTTGATGCAGCTTCAAAGGTTTAGGACATACCATCTTTCTGTTCTTCCTGAAATGTGTGCTGTCATGATATTAAAGGTCCCATTTCATACTCCTTTTCAGCAGGTTCACATGGGTCTTAGAGAATGGTTAGTTACAAATTATATGTGTCTCGATATTTTTCTTTTTACTTTGTTCGTACGTTGGTACACAGTGATGCATGTAGCTAGGTAACATTAGCTCCCGCTAACGGCTACATTGCCACTGTCTTTTCTTTCTTAGTGCTCTTTTGGTGAATGCGCAATATTGTAATTCAAGTTATCTCTCATGACTATGTTCTTGCAGTCTACAGAAACAAACTTCTGTGCTGCTTTATGTAGCCCACAACAGAGCAACTGCCGTGCCTTGCTCGTACCTTCGCCATTTCGAACCAGCATTTGCGAGGGAGAAAAATAGTGTCTGAGTGGAAATCTTTCGTGGGGCAGAACAGACATCTTGGGCAGGGTCGCCAACCTGAAGGGTAGGAGTTATCGCTGTCCATGATGTCACGGAAGGCGATAGTCTCAATCTGCCAATCTGCCAGTCTCAATTTGAACAGAGATTTTCTGAAAGGTGGAACAAGCAAGAGAGGGAGAGGATAGAAGTTTCTCATTTTGGGGGGGGGGGGGGGTTGTTGACAGGCTGGGGATGCAGATTATTGTTAGAAAACCATTCTAAAGTGAATTTAGCACAATATGGGACCTTTAAAATTCAATATTGTGACAGACATTTGCTGGACATATAATGGCAATATTGGCTGTGAACCCCTTGGCCTGATCAAGAAAAAAATTGTAAGCTGTCTCCCATCCTTCTACTTTATTGGTGTACATGTACCACTAGTACAGATACTTAAGTAAGTGAAAGCAGGGCAACATGTTGCAGCTCAAAAGTCTTGAACTCTTTTTGCACTCAGTCTGAAGTGCATGGTTCAAAGTGATTCAGGGTGTGTCAGAGTTTTATAGCACAGAACGCACTATTGCAGAAATAATATGGCCTCCCCTGCATGCAGAATTTCTCTTGATGTTTTATATACACAAGGCACAAAACCATAGCTTTATACATTATTTACATCTACATTCTGGTGGTATCAGATAGGGTTGTATGATAACCACTGTTCCTCATGCACATCAGAGAAAGGTAAGATGTAAATCTTTAATCACCTTTAATCCTTGCTGCTAGAATCCATGGTTTTATTCTGTACTGCATGCATAATAATGGGCACAGTATGTTTCTGTGTTAATATCTGTAGGTACAGTAAAAGGGACTTGTGGACCCATTTTGTAGGTTACAGTAAATCCAGTCCCTCCCCAGATGGGGACTAAGGCATCCCTGTTTGACAGGGGCAGCCAGACGTGATCACAAACTTTTGCAGATTTATTTAACTTTTCTGTCAGATCACGAACACCCTCGCCACTCACAATCAGATATCATATGCATGTTATATTCCTGTCTTTATTTACAACTTTGAAAGTTACACAACTAAATGGCAACAAAAATTGTCAAAGTTTTAATCTTAGTTATAATGATATTAATAATTTATGTTGTGCCTTTCAAATAACCCAAAGTTGCTTTACAAAGTGGGATATCTAAAGACTAAAGCTAGGAATAGATAATACTAAACTAAAAGAAAAATAAATATTGGTAAACAGACTGAAAAAGATTTATTTCTAAAATGATAGGCAAAAGCAAAGTTCAATCGAACAGTGATGTGTTAGATTTACTGTAAATGCAGTCTAAAGAGTAGACTTTAATGTAAATACTACCTCTGACACAGTCAGATAGCCAGGTTTAGGCTCATGGGGTTTAATTTCAAGTTGGGCATGGCCACCCCTGTCCCAGCCCCTGTCCCTGGGCTGTGCAAACATTATTGGGGGCTTTGTGTTGGTTCTGGTAATGGAGATTTTGGTGTTTGTGGGACTCAAATTTCCCCCGAGGCAAAGAGGCAGGTGAATAAGAGGCAGCCATCAGAGAGTTAAAAAAAGCCTGCCCTAGCCCTCTTTGACATTTTAAATATCCATTTTATCAGCAAACCAAGGAGTAAAACCACAGTGGTGCTTCTCTGTGTGTGACATGTTAAAAAGCTGGTCACATCCGTCTGTCACTCTAACAAGAGGGTACAGCACTTCAGACTTGCAGCTAGTCTTACAGAGAGGACTGTTGCCAAGTTTTGCAAAGGTATTTACTGAGTCACAGAATGAGGTTATAGTGAGGTTAAACCTTTATTGTTCACAAAGCAATGGTGTTTTATCAGGAACCATTTTCAGTCTGCTCTCAGTCCATTAAGCTGGTCGTTGTGGCTGAAGTAGCCATTGCAGAGAGGTGATTCAGATCCATTATCCCCTACTGAACTACAACAACAGACAATCATGACACAAAGTCATACAACACATGATGAAAAGTGAAAAATAAGAGTTAGAAACAATGATAGTTAGAAACCTTTTTTTTCCTTAATTGTTTATGAGTTGGCTAAAGGAGACAGTGCTACAGCAGATGAAAGGACTATCTACACTCCTTGTTCTTATGGTGATGGAATAATGATAAATGATTTAGTACATTTAGGAACAGAACACTATAGCTAGGCTTTACCTTATAGAGCATAAAGTGTGTTTCCAGGGGATTAAATTATTATTTTTTGTGAGTTTTATTTTCTTTCTTTCTGAATCTCTGTACTTACTTTCTTCTTCTCAGAGAGCACTACAAACATTTCTCTCTTTACAATAAGAAGTGACAGGCATGACTGAAATATCCCGGGTAACACCTTAGGTAAATGAAATTATCAGACCTTTAGTTGAATTTCGACAGAAGAAAATGTGCTGTTACAAAAGGAAGATTGTAAGGTTTGGGTAATGATTGGGTTATTGTTCTCTGATTTTTATCCTCATCTGTGGTTTTGTCTTTATTTTCGGCAAATACTGCATGCACGTATTTATAACGGAAGAGTTCATAACCTTACTTGACTGTCTGTAGACTAAAGCTACCCCTGAAGCTAGTGTGACTGAATCAAAAATTATATTCGGAGTAATACATTTCTGAAGTTTGTCCACAGCTCCATAGGAATTGCTGGAGGAGGTGGGATTTATGACCTGTACTGCAGCCCGTCACCAGAGGGTGCTGTTCTCGGGGTGGCTTTACCCAGCAAGGAGGCAGATGACGTCCACTCTATATACAGT